AAGAATAAGAAAAATTATGTTTCAATAATTTCATTGAATAGAAGATTTAATGTTTAATTTATTTTATTTAATAATAACTAATAAAAAGATTATCTAATATAATGAGTATATAATAATATTGTGTACCCAAATAAAATAATTAGAATACCATCCATTTGATATTACTATTTTAGTATAATGTACTTGATATTCAAGACAATATCAAGGACCTGAGATAATAATAAAATTATCTTACACCTATTACTATTATATTGGGTACATAATAAAATTTACAAAATTAATTATTGGGTACTTAGTAATAATTAATTATATTGGGTACCTGATATGTTTATTTTTTTCTAATAGGTATTTGATAAGTACCTGATATTATAAATATATCAGATACTCGATATTATAAATATATCAAGTACCTGATATTTAAAAATACCTGATATTATAAATATATCAGATACTTGATATTATAAATATATCAAGTATCCGATATTTAAATTTTGACCTGTGTATATTCAAATATATTTATATAAATTTGTATATATGAATTTATTTAGATATATTTACAAATATATTTAAATTTATTTAAATATATCTAAATATATATATATATATAAATTTATTTGAATATATCTAAATAAATTTATATATATTCATATATTAAATGAATTTATTTAAATAAATTTATAAAAATATATAGATAAATTCATTTAATATATATCAAGAAATTTTTAAAAACAAATATATTCAGATATATTTAAATTATATTAATTTGAATATATTTGACCATCTATATATTTATATATATTAAATATTTGAATTTATTTAGATATATTCACATTTATTAAAATATATTTATAAATATATCTAAATAAATTTACATATATTTATATATTAAATAAATTTATTTATATATTTTTACAAGGGTATTGTTAAAACTTACCAGTAGTAATTGTCACTACTAGATAAAATTACATAATTTTCTAATTAACCTCTAACCTTAACTTTATCGATGTAAATTTAATTTTGTTCAGTGGTAATAATTATTACTGGTGAATTTTAACAATATTCTTTTTACAAATTTATTTAAATAAATTTATAAATATATGAATATATATGAATTTATTTAGATATATCTAAATAAATTTATATATATATATATATCTAGATATATCTAAATAAATTCAAATATATTTAAATAAATTTGAATATTTTAATATGAATAAATGTGTAAGTAATTAAATATATCTAAATATATTAGTTAAATACAAAAGAATTATTATATCAAATGGTGATTTTTATGTTATAGATTAGTTAAAAATTAGTAACAATCAACTATTTTATTATATCCTATATTATAATTAACTAAAATTAGAATTTTTTTTCAGTATAACATATCTTTTGTATTTGACCTGTAATATATTTGTAAATTCAAATATATCTGCATATATTTATTCTTAAAAATTTCTTGATATATTATTTTTTTTTATAAATAGTTGATCAGGACAATTGGTTACAATAAATATAATATAATTTTCAAGTAATTTGTTTTTTGATTTATGTTTAAAATTTATTTTAATATATTTAAGTAGTCTCATATTAAATATAAATATTGTTCAGTAAAACTAAATAATTGAAGTTCATTCATAAATTTTTTTCTTTGTGTTTTTTAATAATTCATTATAACAATGTACTGTTAAGAGTTTTATTTAATCAAATATATGACATGCAAATTATTTTAATAAAAATTAATTAGAAAAAAATTCAGTCATGCTATATATGGATATGTTCACATCTGAATTGAATTTGGACATTCATGTCAAAATGGATTGAATTGTATAATCCAAAATTCAATTCTGATTAAATTATTATTAATAAAATTTCAATTTACCTTATAATGTAAATTGAACAAATTTATGTCTTCAATCTATTTCACAAGTAATCCATATCTTTACAAACAGGATTTAATTGATAATTGGATCAATCTGAATTGACTCAATTCAATCCAAATTGTCATATGTAAACACACCTTATATATCAAGTTATATATTATATATTTATTTAATGTAACATTGACGTAATTGACATAATTAGAATTTTTATATGTATTACTAAGTAAAATAATTTGCTGACGTAATTTGATATAATTGTTTTACTAATTGACATAATTATTTAGCTGTGAAGTATAATATATTATATTACAGAAAATTACATATAAAATTTTTATTTTTTTGCTTCGGCCATGATTTACGTGACGGAGGACGATTTTTACTAAGATATTTTTATGGCAGATTGAAAGCCCTAGTTCTTGGCTACAAGATAATATGTATCTCATTACTGTAGCATCGATATTTGCGGAGATATTCGTGTTTAAAGTCGAGCGTCCGTGAAAAAATTTGTCATAAATTTTCTGGAATTTTTCATAATTCTGGCCAGAATTATGGAAAATTTATGGCGGAAATTTTTCATAGACATTCGAATTTAAACGCAAATAACTCCGCAAATATCGATGCTACCGGAATATGAAATACATAATTTTGTAGCCAAGAACAAGGCCTTTCTTTCTATCTTAGGAATATCTTAGTAGAAAATCGCTCTATGCTTCGCAAATCACGAGCGAAGTCAAAGAATGTAAAAATCTCCAGAAAATTTCACTTTTTTGACTTCGCTCGTGATTTGCGAAGCGTAGAGCGATTTTCTACTAAGGTATTTTGAAGATAGAAAGAAAGACCTTATTCTTGGCTACAAAATGCTATGTGTTCCATCACGGTAGCATCGATTTTCGCGGAGTTATTTGCGTTTAAATTCGAACGTCTATGAAAAATTTCCGCCATAAATTTTCCATAATTCTGGCCAGAATTATGAAAAGTTCCAGAAAATTTGACACAAAAATTTTCACGGACGTTCGACTTTATACGCAAATAACTCCGCGAATATCGATGCTATTAGGATTAAACACATGTCATTTTGTAGCCAAGAACAAGGCCTTTCTTTCTATCTTAGAAATACCTTAATAGAAAATCGTTCTACGCTTCGCAAATCACGAGAGAAGTCAAAAAAATGTAAAAAAAATGCAAAAATCCTCTGTTGATTAAATTTACTGATGAATTTTTTTAATCAATCAAATTGATAATTGATTATTAATTATCAGGAGGAGGTGGGGGTAGACCTTATAGTAAAGAGAAATCGGCTGATTTCTGGCACACCCATATTATGGCTTACTTTTCAAAACCTCTAGTTTATAATATTAGTAAGAAAAGTTGACTTTATTTAGTATTTTCTTATTAAACTATCAAAAAACTATCCAGGCACTTTTCACATGAACTAAACTGTACTAATTAAAACTGTAGAAGAGTATTTAAAAAGCAATTTCATAATATGTTAATATGATTTTAATTTATATTGGTGATGAAATATATATGACGTGTCTTTATTTACTTTATATACTATATTAATAAGAATGGTATCAAAAAACGATACTTTATTAAATTTTTATTGTACTCACTTCAGTCTAACCAATATACATGTTCACTTGATTTATAGAATATGAATACCACATGACCATGAATATTAGTTGCGCAGCAAAGACTTTTTTTTTGATAGATCTATTGTTATTTTTTGATATATCAAATTTTCATGTGACAAAATAGTTACCTTTTAAAAAATAACCATAAGTCTATCAAAATGAAAACTTTTGCAGTTGCGCACGTTATTTAAAGTATAGACTTGGAATTTTGGAAGTGGAATATAAGGTTCCAGAATAATCTGGATCAAAAAGAATTGTATTTATTTAAATGACATCCAAAATTATAACAATCGCCGATTTGTAGTGATTTACACGTGAAATATTGCAAAAATGGATATTTACTGGGGTAGGATCATGTGAGATAATTTGAGATAATTGCTGGAATGTTCGGGAAATGTGACGATAGCCCGAGAATCCTCGGACTTAGTTTAATAATGTTGATACACAAAATATTGATTATGCGAAATCGAACTTGCTGGAAAGAAATGTCGTAAAGGTAACGCAAAAAAAAGCCCCAAGATTCTCTGTATAAATTTTGAACATTTCGTTACTTCCTTTTTATTTCAAAAAAAAAAAAATTTCTCCAGGTACCATTCTTCAATTAAAAAACCGTATCAGTAACACTTTTAAAAAAGAATAAATTAAACCAATTTTTTAGAAATATAATTGTAAAATAAATAATTAATATGGAGCAAGAAGGAAAAGCTGGTACTTTAAATTGAAATTTACTTGAATTCTTATTTTTGTAAGAATTGTTTGATAATTATTTATTTATTATTATTTCTTTTTGAAAATAGTCGGAATTGATTTGGGAACGACATATTCATGTGTTGGTGTTTGGCAAAACGACAGAGTTGAAATTATTGCCAACGACCAGGGTAATCGCACAACTCCTTCATATGTTGCTTTCACCGATACAGAACGTTTAATTGGTGACGCTGCCAAAAACCAAGTTGCTATGAATCCTTATAACACAGTATTTGATGCCAAACGTCTTATTGGTCGACGGTTTGCCGATCAAGAAGTACAATCTGATATGAAGGTATATATTTTTTTTTAATTCTTGGAGAATGTCACATGTATAATATGTAATTTGTGAGCAGTTAAACTTAATTAGGAAAATGATCTTAATTTTATTAAAATTAATACTTTTAATTTTTAATCAATTTAGCATTGGCCATTCAAAGTAATTGATAAAAGTGGGAAACCATACATCCAAGTTGAATATAAAGGTGAAACCAAACAATTTACTCCCGAAGAAGTCTCATCTATGGTGTTAACTAAAATGAAGGAAACGGCTGAAGCCTTTTTGGGTACAAAAGTCAATAATGCTGTTATCACAGTACCCGCGTATTTTAATGATTCACAACGTCAAGCTACAAAGGATGCGGGTATGATTTCTGGATTAAACGTTCTCCGTATAATTAATGAACCAACGGCCGCTGCTATTGCATACGGTTTGGATAAAAAAGCTGAAGGCGAACGTAATGTTCTTATTTTTGATTTGGGTGGTGGTACATTTGATGTATCTCTTTTAACTATTGAAGAAGGAATCTTCGAAGTAAAAGCCACTGCTGGTGATACTCATCTTGGTGGTGAAGATTTTGATAACCGTCTCGTAAATCACTTTGTTCAGGAATTTAAGCGTAAATTCAAAAAAGATCTTACTTCAAATGCTCGTGCACTGCGTCGTCTTCGTACCGCATGTGAACGTGCGAAACGTACACTATCAGCATCTACTCAGACTTCTATTGAAATTGATTCTCTTTTCGAGGGTATCGATTTCTATACTTCATTAACTCGTGCTCGATTTGAAGAATTAAATCAAGATTTATTCCGATCCACCATGGAACCTGTCGAGAAAGTACTACGTGATGCAAAAATAGATAAAGCATTAGTTCATGAAATAGTATTAGTTGGCGGTTCTACTCGTATTCCCAAGATCCAAAAAATGGTATCTGATTTCTTTAATGGAAAGGAACCAAATAAGTCCATCAATCCTGATGAAGCTGTAGCTTATGGAGCAGCTGTGCAAGCTGCTATTTTATCTGGTGTTACATCAGAGAAGACTCAAGACTTGCTTCTGCTCGATGTTGCGCCTCTTTCACTCGGAATTGAGACCGCTGGTGGTGTCATGACACCTCTTATTAAGCGTAATACCACAGTACCGACCAAAAAATCCGAAGTCTTCTCTACATACTCTGATAATCAACCCGGAGTACTTATTCAAGTATACGAAGGAGAACGTGCTCGTACTAAAGATAATAATCTTCTCGGAAAATTCGAATTGACGGGTATTCCGCCTGCACCTCGCGGTGTACCTCAAATCGAAGTAACATTCGATATTGATGCCAACGGTATTCTTAATGTATGGTATCATAGTTTTATTGAATAAATTTTTTTATATTTCAACATGAAATCTTATTATTTCATTACTTTATTAGGTTTCAGCTGTCGATAAGACTACAGGACGATCAAATAAGATTACAATTACTAATGATAAGGGTCGACTGTCAAAAGAAGAGATTGAACGAATGGGTAAGTAAACTTATAACTTTTAAATTTTCTTGTTTATTATACGATTCTCTAAAATAGCTAAAATATTTTAATGGTTATTATACAGTTGCTGATGCTGAGAAATATCGTGCTGAAGATGAAAAGGTTGCCCAAAAGATACAGGCACGTAATGGTTTAGAGAGTTACTCATATAATCTACGAAATACACTTCAGGTAAGCTAAATTTACTATTCAAGAAATTAATTTTAAGAAAATTTTGAGGATCCTCATTAATTAATATAATTGATAATTATTTAGGATGAGAAGATCGCCGGAAAACTTGAAGCATCAGATAAAAAGAAACTTGAAGATTCTATCCAAGAGACCATCACATGGCTAGAAAATAACCAAGAAGCAGAAAAAGAGGAATATGAATATAAACAGAAATCACTTGAAGAAGTGGCAAATCCGATTATGATGAAACTTTATGGTGGTGCCGGTGCTCCTGGTGGTGCCCCAGGAGGAGGTGCATTCCCTGGTGGTGCACCTGGTGGGTTCCCTGGTGCTGGTGGTGCTGCTACTGACGAATCTGGTCCAACAATCGAAGAAGTTGATTAATTCAATGAAATTTAAATGCAAAAGAACATTATTTATAAATAGATTAGCAATATTTTCTTTCTTTTTGTACATTTTCCCGTTTGGGTAATAATTTTTATGCATTATACAAAAAAAAACTTTTAATAAATTTTTCTATTACAATAATAATATTAAACTAAATTCATTTGAAAAAATTACGCATATTTGATGAAACTACTACTTATTGAGTAATCAACACATCCCCAAAATAAAATGTAATTGTTGCTCTATAATTAGTTTGGTAACTTTACATATATTATTCGATGAACTTTTTATATATTTGCAACATAAACTTAAAGTTGGAATAACTTGATCGATATCTCTGTTTGGAATTAAATAATACTAAAATATTTAATGAGTTAAATCGCACAAAATTACTCACTTTTGAACAAAGTCTGTAACTAATTTTAATTCATTATACAGTCAAACCTGTATATAAGCATGCTACTGATATATTAAAGATATTTATTAAATCTATTAATAAATTTTAAATCTTATATTAAGATAATAATAACACACGAGTTAAATAAATAAATATTTAAATGGAAAAAAAATTTTATATCAAATATTTTTTAAAATATCTTTATATCAGTAGCATGCTTATATACAGGTTTGACTGTACACCCAATATCCTAAAATAGATAAATGGGAAATTACATATATATACACGGCCTATATTTACTTAATAAATATAGTAATTTTTAGAAATTTCACTATATTTAAAACTATTTTTTTTGCCAATAATTTTTTGTATAATTTTTTTATTATTATATTTAATATCTATATTTTTATAAACGATATGGTATTATTTTAATGTATTAAATCCCAAGTATTATCAATATTTATGATATGATCAAATCATTATTTAATATAAAAAAATTGGATAACGTAAATTTTAAAAAAAAATATGTACAGTCAGATCTCTCTATAATCACACTTTTTATAATCCCAATCTGTATATAATCACACTTTTTGTGAGAACCAATTCATAGTAAAGCTATGTAAAAAAATCGCTATATAATCATAATCTTTCTATAATCACCAAATTTACTGGTCCCGAATGTGTGATTATAGAGAGACCCGACTGTATTACTAAGTAATTTAGCAGTGTATCAGATGTCTTCTTGACTTAGATGTCAACTGACCAGAGTTAGGGTTAGGGTTATAACGATCTACATAAGATCTGTGACACCTGAGGCACCTCAGTTGACATCTCAGTTACAACATATATATAAAATAGGTGTGATTTATAGAGGTAAATAGCAATATTATTGTTCCTAACATTATTATAAGTATAATTTTGATTATTTTATATTTATGATAAGAAATATTAAAGATTATTCAATAATAATTATATTAATTACATTAATTATTAATAAGTGAATGTTTCCTAGTTTTTTTTTTGAAGTAGAATGTTTTGGCATAACGTTATATGGGCAGCAGATATTTTTACATTTATATATTTTAAATTTCAAGAGTGTAAATTATCATTTTCAAAAGTAAAAGTAAAAAGAGCGACACAAAATGTAAGAGGTAAAATCTATTTAATGTCATGTGACAATGAGTGAAAAAATTATATATTAAAAATTTTTCGTTCTTAGCAAATGTGTGATTATGATTCTATTATAAATGTGATTTTTATAGAGGTAAATAAATAGGAAAATTTCTGTTTCAACAAAAAAAAGTGAATTTAAAGAGGGTGTGATTTTATGGGGGTGAAATTTTTTAAATAACGAAATAAACGTGAAATAATTAAAAATATGATAAGAATATAATTTTTTTTTATTTTTAAATCAAATCTGCCACATTCATGGGCATTTCATCAATTTGTGTATTGTAAAATTGTTCTAAATGAATTGAAATTGTTAGAGTTACTAAAGTTCAAAACTTGGTTATAGTAGAATAATAATAATAATTTACCTATGTCGCGAAGCATTCTAACATCATCGCTTGTAACGAAGTTGATCGCAACACCTTTCCTACCAAATCTACCACCTCTGCCGATACGGTGAATGTAATTTTCTCGGTTAGTAGGAAGATCGTAATTAATAACCTAATTAGCAAAACTTTAATTAGTGAAATTTTTTTCCTTGACAATTCCAAAATTTCAAAATAAAATAAATAATAAAATATAATATAATACCAAAGAAACTTGTTGGACATCGATACCACGGGCCAAAAGGTCAGTGGTAATAAGTACACGAGAAGAACCCGATCGGAACTCCTTCATAATCACATCACGTTGTGCTTGATCCATATCACCATGCATCGCAGATACTGTAAATTCTCGAGCATGCAATTTATCAGTTAACCAATCAACCTTTCTTCTTGTATTACAGAAAATGACTGCTTGAGTAATGGTAACCGTTTCATAAAGATCGCAAAGGGTATCGAGTTTCCAATCTTCTTTTTCAACTGCGATATAGAATTGCTGTATGAAAAAAAAAGTAGATTATATCATTTATTAATATGGCCATCAAATATTATTTAAATATTATTTAAATATAAATTTCTAATGTATGTTAGGTCATTAAAATCCATACCTTAATACCTTCCAAAGTTAATTCGTCACGCTTGACCAAAATTCTGACTGGCTCACGCATAAATTTTGTAGTTACTTCTAAAACGTCAGAAGGCATCGTAGCGGACAAAAGGACTACTTGAGTACTAGGGGGGAGGAGTTGGAAGACGTCATAGATTTGTTCCTTAAAACCGCGAGATAACATTTCGTCGGCTTCGTCGAGAACAAACATTTTAATATGATCGGTCTTCAGGGCACGACGATTAATCATATCAAATACACGACCAGGAGTACCCACTACCACATGTGCACCCGCTTCAAGTTTCTTAATACCCTCACGTACGTTGGTGCCACCAATTGAAGCATTACACTCAACATTCATAAAGTCACCAAGAGCAATAACAACCTTTTGAATTTGTTGAGCTAACTCGCGAGTTGGAGCGAGAACAAGAGCTTGACATTGATTAATGGACATGTCAAGCTTTTGAAGAATTGAAATAGAAAAAGTGGCAGTTTTTCCTGTTCCTGATTGTGCTTGAGCAATAACATCATGCCCTTTAATTACAGGCAGAATCGCTCGTTGTTGAATGGCAGAAGGTTTTTCAAAACTAAATGTATAAATTTAATAAAATTTTTAATATAAATTTGAATGAAAAATAATGTAAAAAATAATGTAAAATAATGTATAATAAAAAAAAAAAACTTACCCATATGCATAAATACCACGAAGCAATTCGGATTTGAGACTCATATTATCGAAATTATCGACAATTTCTTCCCAGTTGGACTAAATTAAAGAAATTCGGATCTTCATAAATAACATTTTAAACAACATTTGCAAATGTATCAATGCATCCAAAAATATTTATCTTACAATTATGAAAGTGAATAACTTTGAATATTACCTCAATTTCACCCTCAGCAATGTCATTGAATTCGGTGTCTTCTCTTTATTATTGTGATAAATTTATACAGTTGATTAGATATTTGTTAATGTATTTTTCAGACAAATCTGAAATCAGATCTGAAGAAAAAAACTTCTTCTCATTCAATAGCCATCCTGATCTCAGAATGGTTAAAAGTGCCTTAACTGCCTTCAAGAATTTCTTAAGACGCTGGGATCCAATTTATTAATAGGATTTTTCAACTTAGCATCTTTTTTAGCCGCAAGTATTTCTAACCATGAACTCAGAAATACTCTCGGCCAACTTTGAAGAAATAAGAGTATACTTAAAAAATAATACTCACTTACTCATACTTGACATTTATAGATAGTTCGTTTATAATTTAATCAAAAAATAATTTAAATATATTTTTTTTTTTTTGAAAAAAAAATTTTTTTTGTATCAATGCACTTAAATAACAGCGGTAAAGAATCACGTTATTGTAAAAGTTCTGCTAATTAATTGGTGATTCAGATATGATCGGCATAAAATTATTATTGTCAATCAAAAGTAATTTTAATAAATCTTTTTATAATATTCTAATTAGTAAAAATAGTGTCTTTAATTATTTTCTTAATATTGTAAATTTTTAGATAAAATTAAATTCACAATTTCACAATTGTTGACTTTTGTATAATAAATATATCATTGATCAAATGAAAAAAAATATGATGAATAGGATTTCAATTAATAACAAGTTTTTAAAATATATTAAGTAAAACAGTTAATTTATAAGAATAAATTTTATATTTGATATTTTTTTCATTTCAATTATAATCAAAATATCTTAAACCAAATTTTATTAAGTTAAAAATTAATTCAAAAATAAATAAATATAAATATCAAAAATATTAATAATTAAGAATAATTTGTATCTTATGTAAAAGTTTAGACTTTATACTTTATAATTAGAATAATATAAATATTTAAACTTAAATATTTGAAGATTCAGTAATGAAGTTTTAAATAATTATTATTCTTTCAATTCTTAATCAATATATATAAAATTTAATAATCAAATATATTTATTTTTAATTTATAAAAAATAAAATTTACTATATAATGATATTTATAAATTGTTTCTTATACATGTTATTTAAGTTATTTTTGACATAATAAAATAATTTGAAATTTGAGATTTAAAAAATAATTTAAATATATATAATTGAAATATTCAAATATCTATTATTAACTATTTTAAAAATAATTTCATTATTATTTTTTAATGATATTACTAGTTTACCTTTTGAACTAATTTTATTTTTCAAAAGGAGATTTACAATTAGTAACTCATAAACAAGAAGAAATATATTTCAAATTATAAGAATAAATTTAATTAAAATTAAAGGAACAAGAAATAATTTTAATTATTAAATTACTAGAAAATAATTTAAGATTTATAAGAATAATGATTAAACTATAATAATATTAATTAGAAAATTCTGGTAAACAGTTTAAGAAATTAAATCTAAAAGATAAAAATATTTATCAAGAAATTTTAAAGTATTGAACAAGAGTTTATTAATATTCAAAAAATATAAATTAATAAAAAAATGATAAAGTTTAAGCAAAAAAAAGTATATGTTTATTATAAAATAAATTAATAATTCTATTAATTAGAATTATTAAAAATATTAATTCAATAAGAGAATTAATTACAAATGAGATTTCTATCTAAATTTTACTATTTAGAACTATTTGAGAAAATTTCATCTTTTTTATAATATTTAATTTGATCAAAGACTTGATTAATAATTATACCAATATCTTTACTAGTAATTGTATTAATCAATTGATTATTAACTTTGACAATCAGTCAGTTAATCGGTTGGTTACTAAATTAGTATTAACTTTGTCACTATAATCTATATTATTGATTTATATAATATGTATTACATCAGAAAATTTTCAAGGGCAGATAACTCAATAAGTTTAAGAGATATAAAATTTCCATAAATTTTTACATAAATTTTTATAAATTTTTATAAATCTTTGAAATTTTTATAGAATATTACAAAAAGTTTTTTGTAAATTTTCAAAATTTTTATTACAAAATCATTACAAAATATTATAAAAAATATAATATTCCATTTAATAGACTAAATATATAATACAAATTGATTTTGTTTATTTACCTAAATGATTAAATGATCTTGTTTATCTTGTTTCAAACTTTTTCAAAAACTATTCATGAAATTTTAGAAGACAAAGATTTTCCAGAAATTTTCAAAACTTGTTTATTTCTCAAGTAAGTATGTTGGTTTTGATAAAGTTGAACACTGTTGCTATCTGTAAAATCTTTATTTGATGTTGTGTTTCTGGATCATTCGAGATTCCAACAAAACTTCTTGAGCTCCTTTGATTGTATTAAATTATAAATTAGGATAGAGTTCCATAAGAAAAATTCTCGACATTCCCTTTTCTTAAATAATATAATTCTTATACTGTGATACTTTGCCTTTTCTGTTGTGTTCCTATGTAACAGGTATTTATTTAATAAGTTATGTTCATAACTTTGTTATATTTTTACCTTTTTCATAGTTTTTAAAGTAATAAGTAGTCATTTGACAAGTTATTCATAACCTTACTGTCTAGAAGTTGAATACTCTCAAATACTAATATATTTATTTAGAAAATAGTGTACAGGAATTGAATCAGTTTATTTAATACTATTTCTAATATCCTTTTTCTTTATTTTTTCTTAGTTTCAATAATAACAAATTTTCAGAATTTTTCAAAGATTTTTAAATTATTTTTACAAATTTTATTTTTTTTCAAATATTTATAATTACAAATTATTAGATTAGTATTTAGTTTTTTCAAATACTATTAAATTAATTATTATTTTTTGCAATATTTCATCAAATCTTTATTATATAAAAATATATATATAAAAAAATATAATAATATAATAAAATATATATAAATCAAATTTTTTTATATTCTGTATACACATTTATTATAATATTCATAATATATAATAATATATAATAAATAAAAATTAATAAATTTATCTATTAACTTTCTTCTTTATTTTCTCTTGTTCTTATTTCTCTTCTTGCTTCTTCTATATATCTCAGATCTGCTTCTCTTCTTATTACTTCTTCTATTTCTCTTATTTCTTTTTTATCCACATTTGATATGATTAAGTAACTTTCTGACTCATCTTTATCAAAATCTGATTTTCTCAAATCAAATTTTTTACCATTTTTCATTTTTTTCTATCAATATAAAATTTTTTTTTTAATATTTTAAAAAATTAAAAAATTAAAAAAATTTGAATATTTTTAATACTTATTAGATTTCTTTTCAATTTCTTACGTAAATATTTATTATCATTTTTAATATCTTCATTATTAAAGTTTAAAAAACTTTTGTATAATGTTACAACAAAGTTATTTGTTCATTAGAAACTTTTGAAGTGTCTTCATACACATTGCTAATTATTTTTTCACATCAGATTTCATCTTCATCATTTATTATTTTTAAATGCAACTTTTCGTAATATTCTTTAACAATTGATAACTCTTTCCAAGCTTTTATCTTACTTGGAGTTGCTTTTATATTTATTTTCAGGAGATTCCTAAATACAAAAAAATATAGAATATCTGATTTGAATAGATAACACTCTTCTTTTGAACTAGTGCTTTTTTTTTAACTTTAAAATAATTCAAAATCTTTTATTAATTATTAAAATATCTAGATTATAATATATTCAGTAAAACTTACTCTTCCTTTAAGAATTAAATTATAATAAAATATTCAGTGATTATTTTTCCAGCCTTCAAAAAGCTCTGAATATTTTTTTATTAAGTAACCTGCTGTAGTTGTTTTAAGAGTATTATTATTTAAATATACATCAGGAAATTTTTTGGGGCATAAATTTCCGTAATAAAAACGGAACCCACGGAAATTTATGCCCAAAAATTCAATTTTTTTGACTTTGGTCGCAATTTACGAGACAGGAAGCGATTTTCTA